GGCTATGACGTGACAATGTGTGTAGATAGTGAGTAATTGAGCTGCAGTCAGGAAGTATTGTTGAAGTTAACATTCGTTGTTAAAACGTTTGTAAAAGAGCGACTGTTGAAAATAAATGTATCGGTAAAGTTATATTCAGGAAGAATAAACCAGTTTTATTAAGTAAGGACTTGAGTCGCAAAAGTTTCGTCGGAACGAAGTTACGGAAAATTAATTAACAAACGGAGACGTAACATTATGATATGTAACCTCTTCTCACATCTAGCTAGAATCCAACACTAAAGTGGTAAATGGACCAGTGTAAAATTTTACCTAGATAAGACCACTTCAAGAAGCGTCTGAAGAGAACCCATGAAGTGTAACACCCTATACTTTGGAACAGTATAGGTGCACACCTCGTCATACCAAGGTACAATCTCCTCCCAGAAAGGAAGTGTTGCAAGGATGGGCAGAAGATACAAGCACAATTTACAACCTGCATAAAGCTTTTGAAAGTGTTATATGTGTAGTGTGGCTAGGGTACATCAGACTGTATGTGTGGGTTAACTCCTGCTCAAAACCAGGTAGCACTAGGAATTTGACTTCTAGGGTGCAGCCCAGTTAGGCAGAATGGGAAAGTAGCATCCATCCTCCAAATGAGTGAGGACTTATGTTAGTTGGTCCTGCACCAGACCAACCAGGAACCTGACATCCTGGTTGTGGTAGGATGAGGGAAAGCTGACCAGAACACCATTGCCCAACTCTCTACTGAGTGAAATTGGTCATACTCAGGAGGCATTCTTCATGGTCCACCACCCCAACAGCTAGAAGATGGTGAGGAGCAAGGGCTTCCAAGCTCCACTAGAAGAAAAGTCGGGTGAAAGTGCAGGGGGGTAGTCAGGAGGAGTGCATCTCCATAAGACAGTTCCACAGGTGACCTTTACAACCCTATTATTAAAAGCATGCAATCACTTGGTTTTAAACTAGGCATTGAAGATGAGCAGGAATCCCCTGCCTGCTTTACTTATGCTAGTCCATGAATGGGTACTGTATGGATTGAACCTTGTTTAGGAAAATGTGTATCATTAGGATATCTCAAGCAGGCTTGTGGAACACTCCATCTCATGGATGAGCACTATATCATGCCAGGAAGTGCCTATACTTTGCAGATTATGGTTAAGTATACACTGGCTGGCAACACATGCCTTTGAGCAGGATCCTGTAATGAACTATAGGGCTCTGTAAAAAGAGGGGAATATAAAAAAGAGACACAGTCAGAGATGGTGTTATATATGAAGAATAGTGACCAAAGTCAGTCTATAACCCAATGAGGAAGAAACAATGTAAAATTTTACCTAGATAAGGCCACTTCAAGAAGCATCTGAAGAGAACCCATGATGTGTAACACCATATATTTTGGTATTGTAGTAAATGGCTAAGGCATTGATGTAAGGGGGTGCCCAAACAAGAACACTGCCCCTGAAAAAGACAAGCATTGTGGGAGCATTTCATGGTACAAACCTTGTCTGGCCACAGGAAACAATCCATGACAAGATTCATAGCACCCAAAACATAACCAACCATAATGTAGACATGCAGAGAATAGGCCCAGGATAGGAGGTTGAAAGTTCTGAAACAGAATAATGGTTCTGTCAAGTCACCAGGTGAAAACATTGTGTAAGGAAGGAGAAATATGAATAAGGGAGGACAAGGAATCCCAAACAAGGTTCCATGGATTGTGCAGAGTCCATCACAAAAGAAGCATGTAAGCATGTTCCAAAAGAAAAAGGGGTGCCATGGAAGCCTAAATCTTCTGAAAGAGAACCTCCTATGCTGGAAGAGGAGAGGATAGAGCTGTGGAAACCATACTCATCATGGCACACCAAGTGAAGATGGCTGAGATCCACAGAGATTGGAAATAAAGAACACACTAAAGTGTACTAGATAGTAAGTGGGTGTGAGATGAGACCTCTCCAGCCTGACCCACCAACTAAAATGAACAGCCTCCTGAAGAAGGAGAAAAGCATGTTTGTAGGAGCCCTTGGGGGGATGGAGTGAAATCCTGGAGAAGGATGAGAAACCTGTCAAATACTGTGTTTGGCCAACATGACTAAAACTGCCCCTGAAAGATGCCAGTGAGATACTAGATCCCAATGAAAAGAAAATGGAATATAAGACAATGGAGACAGAGAGGAAAAACAAAGAGTAAGACCCTTCAATAAAACTTGTAGTTTGCAACAATCAGCCAGAAACAAAAGACCCAGATCAGCAAAGTAAGCCAAATAGGCCCCTACTGAGCCTGTGCCCATAGAATAGTCACTGACAAGATGGTCAGCATCAAGAGCTATGCACAGAAGAAGAAGAATGGGTGGAAGCAGAGGAATTGGAGGAAGGGACAGGGAAAGGAGAATATGTAGAAGTATGGGAGATTAAAAGGAAAAAAAGGAGATGGGAGACAAGGGAGGATAAGAAAGAATGTTGACATGCAGCCTTAACCTTTGACTCCAGAGAATAAGGCACTCCATCAAAAAGACTTTGATGGAGGAAAGGAGCCAGACAAAAATCCCCGAGATAAGAAGGAGGCAAATGTATTTGAGCAAGAAGGGCATCCTTCCACAACAAATCCTAGCAACAAAGCAACTAAGTCAGAAGGGACAAGGTCAAGGAAGAAGAACATGCCAATGTAGAAAATGTAAGGGAACGAGTATCTGCCAAAAAACCCACAGGGACATGGTAAATTGCTTTAAAAAGGGGAAGGGAGGAAAAATAATGCAATGAGATAGTAAGGATTAAGATGAATGGATTAAATTTGGACCTGAGAAAGTGAAGTAGTAGATAGAGGATCTCACCCCCAAGTCTGAAGAAGAGACTCCAGAGTTTGAGAGTAGAAGAAATGAAATACAGCCCAATGTCAAGCCAAGGCATATGTGGCAACCAGGCATGGAGAATGAGGCATGCCAGCACCAAAGCGAAGTTGAGAAAAAAAAATTGCTCAATAAGGACTTCAATATTTGAAGAGGGAGGAATAACATAAAAGTTAGAAGGAGGGAATGAACAAAGAAATGAAGGAGAAAGAACATACGAGATAAAAGAGAGAGAAAAAAACCATACCCAGAAATAACAAAAAAGGGTCTAGATAGATCCATGAAAGAACTGGTAAAAGATTTGGCAAATACTGTCAAAATTCCCTTAATCATGAATGGGATACATGGGCTGATGTATATCAGGTTCAGAAGAAGGTTCAGGCTGCATGAAAGATTCCATCTCCCATTGCACAATAGCTGTCACTTCCTCAATAGACAAAGAGGAACCTGATGCCATTTTAGTTGTTTGTCTAGCATGAACAACATCTTGTTGTCCCAGACCATACAAAGCAGAAGTTACTGTCACTTGTGAATTCATGATATGGAAATAAGAGGCCACAAAATCTGCAGGTGCAGAAATATTTGAAAACTAAAACATAAATTTAATATTTCTACATTTGTTTTTTTTCTATAGATACTTCCATAACAATGCCAATATCACAAAAGCTTAAAAAAGATACCTCTTTACACATGAATGCCGAATTGAGAAGTAATGACTGAAAAATCAGTATAGCTGTACTAGAAAAGTGTGTCGCACTACTATTAGTGTAGGGATGTCACATGCTCACTTACATGCAACAACACAACAATAACACAAGGAAATGCATGTTTAGGTGGGGCTTCAAGCGAAAACATTTGCAAATAGAGGGCAGCACTGAATCAGGAAAGCTTTTGGTGGGAAGAGGTTATGTATTGCATCTGAAATTTATATAGTAAACTTACTTAGAGTTAAACCAGTTTTAACAAGTTTAAAGAATTTTATCCTATTAACTATTTATACCACTTAAAATATTTAAGCAAACTGCCTAGATTTGAGTTGTGTATTCTGTTTCATACAGTGTTTTTACTTTTTAGTAAACTACTGAGTCATCATGGTTACATCAAGATTAAAAAACATCTTCACTAAATACTTCATGATACAAGCAAAAACAAAAATCAAGAAAGAGGGAAACGCATATTGCTGGAGCTAAATATTGATGCTACTAAGTTATGAATTTAGGTGTAATAATAATAATAATAAAACAATTTTAGAGTGATTTAAAAGAATTCTGCTGTAGTCAAAATGATTTATACAGTACACACACACATGAAAATGCCACCTAAGTGTGCATATACACATTCTAATTGGAATAATTTATTTCTTGCTTAACTAGTTACTCATTTGATTAATTTGATATAGTAGTAGTCTGTGTTCATAACAGACCTTATTTATAAACTTTGAAACCTACATTTTCATTAATGTATATGCATGTGCATACAATAATAGCCTCTCTGGAAGCTATTCTTGAAATTTACAAGTAGATGCAATTTTTAAACCATTATACCCTGTAATGCATTTTCTTATCTTACCATATTAACAAGTTTTATTTTAACTCATGGTGCAGGTTTTCTTGTATTCTAAATCACAAACACAAGTGTGGAATTCATATCACTCAACTCCTTGGAACAACCAGATCCACCTACAGGACAGTAAGTTTTGCCACTCTACTTGTCTATTGGAAGAGTTTTTTTTTTTTTACACTGTTTGTTCTATTGCTAGAAAATACACAAGATGTTCGAGGGAACTACAGAAGTTCCTGAAGGTTCTGAACTGTGGAAGTCTAGCAAATAAACACACATTAAAAATGCTTACCTTTAAACCTCAAACTATACACAAGTATACATATCCTTTTAACTCTTACAGCATGTGCTCGGTCACTGAGACTGACCTCGTAACCATTTTGTGCTTGTTATAGTTTTCATGCCTTAACTTTTAAATTAGTAAGTGAATGTTAACAAAATTTGGCAGATTATCAACAAACATTACAATGCTTTCATACACAAAATATAATTATTTTTTTTAAGTCTTAAGGTTTATAAAGCAATGTTTTTCTCATGTCTTTTTTTCTTTTTGCATGTTGCCTATCTATCATACAAAGTAATGTTCATTTTAATATTAAAAATACTTTTATGCATCAGCAAATTTTGAAATTTTACATGCGAAATCTTTATCATGTCCAAGTAGTTATCATATGTTTCTTAAGAAAAACTTTATATTTTATCTGTTATATTCAGTAATTAATCTCTGTACAGGTTCAGTAGATTTCACCAATCTTGCAACCACCATAAAAAAATTAGGAAATAAATATAAATTATGCCTATTTCATTCTAGAATGAACACAAATTGTAACATGAAAACATAAATGTTTAGCTTATATCTCATAACATTTCAGCCATGCCTGGCTAAAAATACAGATATTACAATGACACGGGTCATGTGCACTCATGTTAATGTATCAAATAACATAAAACTGACCTTTGGTCTGTGCAAAGTAACTTATCTTGGCTGTGTTTTAGTAGAATAGTATTTTGTAAAATACAGTCAGATTTAAATTATTATATATTATATATGTATATAGATTATTGCTATTTTGAAACAAGTTCTTAAAGTTATTTTTCTTATTGGAATATTGGTTCAAAAGAAAGAAATGGTGGCAAGTGTGTTAAAATGGCTGAGAAAGCCACTAGGGAGACATTCTGAGCTTTCGATTGGTTATTGATGTCATATATAGAAGTAAGTGTATATAAAAGAACATTTCCAAAAACAGAAAGAGGTAGGCAGGGGTGCCACTATGTTTATTACATCAGCAATATCTTAGCAAATATAAAAGATATGAGGTTCTTATCTTATATTCTAGCTTGTCAATATCGGTAATTTGAGTTTCTAAATCGTTCGAAACTACTCACTTAGTATTTTGACTTCACTAACATGTAATTTGAACCAGTGTTGCATTCAACATACCATGTAGCACATAAAAATTGATGTTTATCTGTGTTTTTTATATTTGCTTTTAAATTAAGAAA